CTTTAAAGTCTTTGATAAATCTAACACCTGGGCCATCTTTGGATCACAAGATCACATTTTTTTCTTGACTGTGACCACATTTTTAAAACTATTGACAGCATTATTTTATGATTTGATTTGATTTATATTGTCCCATTTTTTAACATTTGTAGTAATTTTTGAATTTTATAACTTGGTAGGTCTCAAATGTCAAGTTCTATCACTCCTGCAGGTCTTGTTAAGACTTAGACTTATACTTTGGTGGGGAAGCTCTGTAGAAGTCTACTGTTGGCCATGGTCTTCACTGGTAAGATACGACCTTTTAAGTCTCTCAGTTGAATGCCTGGGGTATTAATGAGGTATCCCCATTTTGGTTGGGAGAGAGCTCTAAATTCTCCCAGAATTGCTTTGACCTCTAGAATCTTGTTTCTGCTTTCAGTCTAGTAGCACCTACCCTCTAGCATGCTTTTTGAAGTCTCACTTCATGTATACTCAATCCAGCCTCAGTTCAAAACCCATGGGGAGCCTTACACAGATGTCTGGCTTTCCTCTCTATATATTTATTCCTCTCTGGAGTGTGTCCTTGTAGTTCCAGATGCTTTGGCAACTGTAAACTTGGATCTTTGCTTCCTTAGCTCAGTAGATCTGCCATTCACTACTTGGGTGTCACCTCCCTGTCGTGTTAAGGACATTCTGCCTAGGTAGAGAGCCAAGAAAATTGAGAGTACCACATCATGAGTTTCCTTTGTGTAAGGAATCACAATCTTATACTGCCTGTTGTCCAACATTTTGTCTAGTTTTAGAGTTCTTAAGGAGAAGAGCTGGTTCAATACCAGTTACTTGTCATGGCTGGAAGTAGAAAAATATTAAAGAACTTCAGCCACCCAGGAGAGAGGATAGGAAGGAGAGAGAGAGGAAAAATGAGGTGAGAAAAATAGAGGGGATCACAGGCTAGGGGTTAGAGGGGTAGCCTGAAAGAGGAGAATTGAGTGGGGTTGAGAGAATGAGAAAAATTAGATACATGTCCCACTGCCCTCAGTTTTAAAAACTTTATGTAATATAATTTTAACAAATATTTACTGGGACCTGATCTAGGCCAGGTACTGTAGTGATAGCTAATAATGGTTAATAAGGCTTTTTTTTAAATATCCCAAAGCCTAGCAGGGTAAATATACTTATGTAAAAGACAACTATAAAAAATATGTTTGGAGCTCAAATGCTCTTTGCATAAAATTTTATTGAGCACATAAAAATTAATTTTGCTTGGTTGAGAAAGGTTTCATGGAAGAAGTGATATTTGAACTTGACCTTAACTGACGGGTAAGAGGGTAAGAGTTTATTTGTTAAAACATGTGTTGGAGGATGGGGGCTTGTTAAGAAAAGCATTTAGGACAAAGAGAACACTGTGAAGATCACTTAAATTCATCAGGGGCTGTAGTTTACCTTTGTGACAGCAACAGAAAGAAGTTTGGTGGGCAAATAAAAATTTCAGGAGAGATTAACAAACTCCCACCAATTGTGCCAGAATTGCATATGGGCAAGGCAAAGGGAAACTATTCATCATTATTGCTTAAAATATCGTTAAATTAGGTTCCTTTGCCTGGGAACCTGATAATATACATAACATTCTCCTGTAGACTGACTAACTGCAAACTGCATTAGAGATGTGAAATACAATTGTATTTTCCCTCTGGGAGTAGAGTGGATTTAGCAAGGAATGCTATCTCTTTAAGAGAAAGTGACACAAATGGATAATTTGCTCTAAATATCTGATATATTGGCTAAAGCTCTCTACATGTGGGTCAATGAGTCTGTCCGTTCTGTTAACTCAAGGAGACTGGGTTATAGCTTTCATTTAATGCTTGTTTGATCCATAAATTTTTATCTTGATAATACTCATTACTGGGTGTGAAATAGTCTGAAGTATTTACTATACCATCTCTACACCCCTCCTTCCTCTCTCTATTCCTCTCTCCCACACACCCTGTCATCTCCTGCTCCCTCTCTTGTTCCTTCCCTCTATCTCCCTTCCTGCCTTCCTGCCTTTCTTCCCACTTGTGGAAATATTTTTGCAGATTATTGAAAAGTGTAGTTTTCCATACTTTTGGAGTTAAATATCACTCTGGATTCCTTGAATAAGTAAAGTCTTGGTTGCTTGTGGCTTAAAGTAAAACCAAATACATGGTGAATGCCTATTATTCTGAGAGCTACACATAGATAGTAGAACCTATAATATTTTCCATGTGGCTCTGTGGTTTCAATACCAGTGATTCCGCTTTTCTTTTCTGAGTAGGATTATGCAGCAGCAATTAGGAAAATAGCATACATAATCATCTTCATTTTTTTTAACTCACAATAAAGTATGATAGTTTATTCTCCTCAAAATCCTTCAGTCAGAGAGCTCTGTCTACTCCTAGACCTTAGATTTAGGTTATTACTAGATGCAGTTAAAGATACATTAGAAATGCATTCAAACCAGATCATGAAATATCTCAGATTTGTAGGGCACAGGAGATTGAGCAGGTTGGTTAGTAAACGTGGAGTCTGAAGTACCGAATAGGTAAAGTTAAAATTATGAAACTGGAACAGTTGATATTTATTTAGGACAGAAAGTTGTCCAGGTACTATACTAAATGTTTTATATGAATGATCTAATTTATTCCTCAAAATATCTGATTATCTTATACCTATTCTATTTTGAAAAATTATGATTATTCCTGCCATTTATTGAGCACCTGTCATGGGCCAAGTCCTTTAATTGCAGTATCTCTGACTCATGCCTACACTTAAAGGTAGTAACCCTCTCCATTTTAGAGATGAGGGAATTAAGGCTCAGAGAGGTGAAATAACTTGCCTAAGATTGCACAGCTCATCAATGTCTGAGAAGGGCTTTGATTCAAGATCACTTTGATCCTCAAGCCTGGTGCCCTATTCTTCACCCCATGGCTGAGGTACCTGCTTTGTCATTTCTCATATATCCATGCTTTGGTGAAAATCATTTTAAAGGAAGTTTATAGAAAGAACAGAACTGAATTATTTCTAGGTCCCCTTTATGATTTCTGTAATTGAACCTAATTTTTAGTGTTTATGGTAATTTGCATGGATTAGAAAAACTGTAACACTTCCAAGACCTAAACAGTTGTTCACTCAAGATGTTTGTAACAATTTCCACTACATAGCTTAGGTTTACTGTTAATAATTATTCGGCCTTTGAGATTTCAAAAACTTTGCTTCAAAATGAAATCATTCTTTGACTATTCCAGAACGGCCTATTGAAAATCAAATACATTGGCACAAATTAATAAAATATATATTACTGAATTATTATAAATATAGCATAATATTTTCTATTTTCTCTTTGGTGGTCTGTTTCTTTTCACAGCATGTTTGGAAGACTACACAAGTGATTTTGGGACATTAACTTCTCCAAACTTCCCCAATAATTACCCCAACAACTGCGAATGCATTTATAGGATCACAGTGAAAAGCAGTCAACAGATTGCATTGCACTTCACACACTTCTCCTTGGAGGAAGACATTGGTGGACAATGTGTGTCAGATTTTTTGGAAATCAAGTAAGCACACTTATTTATTTCACTATAATCTTTTTTATTATTTGTTCTCATTAATAATCTTTCCTAGGCTTTCCTGGATTAAGGAAAACTTATTAAAATTCTCTGTGAAGCTCCCTGCTGTGCACTTTCTTGCAAGAGATAAAGTTTGTCATTTGAATGAAGCCTGACTTAGAAGAAATACAGAAAATTGCATAAGATTCGGTGGTTATTTTGAAGTGATTCTTTTATTGGGAATATCTGAAAATAAACTCCAGATTTTATCTGGACAAAGAAAACAAATGTTCTACTACTTTGAAATGAGGTACTCGCAATTGTTGAGTACCTACTTTCATTATGTAGGGCTGTTTGCTGTTCATTTAACCTTCTTATATCACAAAAATGGGAGCAGGATGGCAACCATAAGTTTTTCATGAAGTTTTTTGTATTCAAATAATAAAAGTCTAGGCTTGAGAATTTCAGTACAAGGCATTTTTCTTTCATTATTTGGCACTTTGAAAGACTGCATTTAAAAAGTTATATTTGCAGTAAAGGTAAGTTAACTTACACATTGCTATCTCCCTATGTCATTACATAAAGTTAAATTAGGGTAATCATTTTGGTGTGCATCTATGTCAAAATTTTTTGGCACTTCAAATCTGGAATCTTATTTTATAATATATTTTATTCTACAATGTAAAGTAAGGTACTAAAAAGACAAATCACAATTGTATTCCATCATGTTAAAATGACAATTTTCTTAATTTATAGCAATTGATCACTGGACTTTGATGGTGAATGAGCCCTTATTTTTTTATTTGAAAAAGCTACAGATTATAAACTAGATTTAAGGCCCCAGAAGTTCTGGGAAAAGGAATTATTTATAGAATTTTGCTAAATATATCAAATATGATCTATTAAATTTTGAAAATTTCCAAATTAGAAGGAAAACATTTAAGGTTTCTTTGTAAAATGAAACATCTGTTTATGTTGTTAATAATTACACTTTCTTTGTCTTGCTTACTCCGACATGTTTGCCACAGGCTTTATTTGAGATAAAGATTAAACACATTCTTTCAGTTTGCAATTGGTTATGTAAAATGCCATGCCAACCATAAATGACAGTTTATTCATTGCTAAGTTATTTAAATACTATTTCATAAAATCGAACACTTGAAATTATGTTTTATAGTGTATTTCAAGAGAAGTTGATCAATCTGATAAACTGCTAATGTTTGTAATCCCAAAGTTTAAATTATGTTAAATATTTACATAGTAACATCATCAGTAGCCTAACACATTTTCATTTCCTTAATCTGTCAGAGATGGAGGCTATGAAACTTCACCATCACTAGGAATATACTGTGGCTCAAATCTACCTCCAGAAATTATCTCTCATAGTAACAAACTATGGTTAAAATTTAAGAGTGATATGATTGACTCAAGACCTGGATTCTCAGCTTACTGGGATGGATCATCAACAGGTAAATTGTGAAGAGCTGCCTTTTATTGGAGAATCTGGTCTTCTTGGTTTCTTAATTCTTGAATTGTCATGCTCTGTCCATCGGTTGTCCATTTTGCCCAGCTACATTTAAACTTCACCTTTGCAAATATTTTTTAATTAACAGCAGCCCATTTTTTTAAAGGGCAAAGGAAGGAAAATTCTATTAATAGTTCCCTGGTACATTTCATCAAGCTGGTTGCCTTGGTTAGAAAAAAGGTACATTGATGCCACTTGGGATTGTAGGCTAGCTACTCTTTTGTGATGCAGCTTTGTTTTGCAATTTGATTGAAATGAGGGTACAGTAGCACCAGTTTGATACCAATGAGAAGATTCATTTTTACCAGAAGGAAAAGGGTGTACGTCATTCCATTTCTTTTTCCTGTAGGCTGCGGGGGCAACCTCACCTCATCCAGAGGCACATTCATGTCTCCCAACTACCCGATGCCCTACTACCACAGCTCTGAGTGCTACTGGTGGTTGAAGTCCAGCCATGGCAGCCCGTTCGAACTGCAGTTCAAAGACTTCCACTTGGAGTACCATCCAAACTGCACTTTAGATTACCTGGCTGTACGTGTAACGTCTCGGTTGTATCATTCCTGTTACCATCTGACCCAACACACATAATGCATTTATTTTTATTTTTGAGATTCAGGAAAGGGGAGGGTCTAAACAGAACATCACATAAAATATTCACACAAAACAAAAACTTAAGGGAAATTTGTTGAAAATGACAATCTTTTAAGTATAGCATGTATTACTGAATGTCTTGATACATTATACTAAATATTGAAAACATTGACTATGGACTATTAAGATATGGTGAAAACCCCTTTCAGGAGGGATTTATCCCTCATGGGATTTATTATAATGATTATCTATGAAATTTCCATATATGAATTGAAAAATCACAATTCAGATGAATATTTTGGTGAATTAGAGGAGATAATTTGAGTCATCTTACTTGCAGTTTTTACTCACCATTGTCCAAAGAAAATCTAAATAAAAATGTATTAAAGTATCATAAATTATAAACCATGAAATCAAAAAGCAATGAGCACAATTGATATCAGTTAGGGCCTGAAAAATATGTATTAGACTCATTTTCAGTCTTCAGACTTCACCTAGGTTCACGTGCTTACTAGTGTACCTGTCCATGGCTTAATGGCTCAAGTTCATGGCTCAAATTTATAGACACTTAAATATAATTTTTCAAGCTATTTTATTTCAGGGCTATTCTTTTGTTTGTCATGTATGTATTTCTTCCCCACTTCTTCTGGATTATAGGTCCTTTACTTAACATTTATAGCCTCAACCATCTGACATTTAAAATGTTTTATTAAAGGTATATGATGGCCCAAGTACCAGCTCCCATCTACTAACTCAGCTTTGTGGGGATGAGAAACCACCTCTTATACGTTCTAGTGGAGACAGCATGTTTTTACAACTGAGGACAGATGAAGGGCAGCAAGGACGTGGCTTTGAGGCTGAATACTGGCAGAGTAAGTGTGTGTCCCAGCTACTCTGTGCCTATGGTGGGCCTTCAACTCTTGAAACAAACTGGAATAAGTATAACCCATCGGTGTGAGCAATTGAAATTCATTTTAGTGTCTTAGGTGAAAAAGTTAACTCCATTTGAGGGGAAATGCTTAGTCTTAAATTTAGTGTTGTTGGAGAAATGCATCTATGAACCACATTTTTAGAGACAACTCTTTCAATATAATCTTTATTTCCTGTTGTCTTTTATAGCACATCATAAAGACAATATGAAAAAACTTGAGAAAATGTGTGTATATACTTTGCTTAAGTCATTAGCATTGGCTGAATTAGGCATTTACTTTCAGGATTAGCCATACTTAGGGGTATCTAGTGTGGTTTTGTTGAAAACTCAGCTCAAGAAAATGCTTAGATTGAAGACATTGTTTAAAGTTTAAGATATTCATGTCTTCTTGAAGTCCTTTATGTTCTCTCTATTGGCTGGATACTAACTAGAGGAATAAGGGAGCCTTTATTGTGAATTTCATGCAGAGTTTTGAATGTTCAACAAAGCCATGTTGTTATTCATTTTAACATTCACTTAGGACTTTGAGTTTTTAACTGTTGAATTTAAAGGTCAGAATTTCTGTCCCTTCCAAATGTTAATGTTAGAAAAACAGAAGCACAGAATGTTTAATACACTTCTGTAACAAACAAATCAGACTGATCTCTGAGTAGAGCCAAGTTATTCTGCTCTCCCCCGATTCAAAGGAATTTGATGTCTATTTTAACACGGCTATTTGATTTTCATGACACTTTGGTTTGAGTTCACTTAAGTGTTATTTCACATTTGTTCTAACTGGAGACCCTTTCACTGTAAAAATGCTGTACCATATGTATTATATATAAACATATATATGAGCACATATATGATTTTTAATCTAGATGTTTTCTTAAAGGAAAATCTCATGCACGTCTTGGAGCAATTATGATATCTGTGATAGTGGCTCTTAACAATCATGGTTATTTTCTTCTAGCATGTGAGAACGTGTTAATAGTCAATCAAACCTATGGCACCTTGGAGAGTATAAATTACCCAAATCCTTATTCCAACAATCAGCGTTGCAACTGGACTATCCTTGCAACAACTGGCAACACTGTGAACTACACGTTTGTAGCATTTGAATTGGAATATTACACAAACTGCTCCACAGATTATTTAGAGGTATGTATTCTAAAACTCAATAAATCTCTGATCACGGTACCCAAGTTAAAAGTCATGCTTTTTAGAATCAAATCCCTAACCCTGCCCCACACCTCTATGATACACCAACCACCCATGGCATTTGAACAATTATATTTCATATTTAATCTGCTAAATTATATATACAAAGACCTATTTATGTTTTTTGGTTTCAGTGTAAGTTCTAGACTGATTGATCTCTTATTATTTAAATTTCACAGAAGTAGAGTAATAACTTATATTTTTTCTTGGTTGTTTTTGTGTTTGTTCTCTATAAAAAAGAGATCAGAAAATGTTTGGGTATCTTGAATTTATTTAATACATAATTCGTCTGGTACTAGGTTTCATGATTTTAATTCTTATTTTTATTTTTAAATTTACTTCAGCTTGTTTTTATTTGTATAAAATGGAAGTTTCAATTGTTATAATAATGACCACCAGTAACATTTATTCAACTCTCTGCTTGCAATGTTATGCAATAAATGTTGCTTGAACATTAGGCAACCTAGAATATGAGGTAATCTGCTGTTTTTATCATAAGAAATTTTGTTTAAAAAAGCTTTTTTGCTAACTTGAATATGTAATTTTTAGGGCTATAGATTGAAAAGTTATTTAGACTCCTATTTTTTACCATTAATAAAATCACTTTCCGAGTCATCTAACACAGTGGTCCCCAACCTTTTTGGCACCAGGGACCAGTCTCATGGAAGACAATTTTTCCACGGACAGGGTGGGAGGAGCTCAGGCGGTGATGCAAGTGACAGGGATGAGCTGTACAGATGAAGCTTTGCTCACTTGCCTGCCGCTCACTTCTTGCTGTGCAGCCTCAGTTCCTAAGTTTCCTGGAAGACAATTTTTCCAGAAAAATTTTTCCAGATAGGGTAGGGGTGGGGTGGGGGGAGGGAGAGCTCTGCGGCCCAGACTGGTACCAGTCTGCGGCCTGGGTGTTGGGGACCGCAGAGATCTCACACATCATCTTTATTTCTGTCTACATTGTTAATATGTAATACTGTTTGAATCTACGTATGATATTTTCACTAGAAGTCTTTTCTGAAGGGACAAGTTTCCACTCCAGTAACATCAGAACATTTTTTTCCTGCCTTTCCCACCTACCCACAACACGATGACTCAATGCAGTTCTTTTTAAGGTGATGAATGATTTTTAGAAATCTTGCTTACAAAGACTTCCAACATCCATCACTTGCAACTGTGAGGTCATATTCCCAGGAAAAATACTTTATCCTTGTAAATTTTTCTTAACTGTCTTTATACCAGTTCTATCAAAAAACTAGCATCTGTTGAGGTTGTTAGAGATTAACATATCTTTTCCAAATAGCACTTTTGTTTACAAAAACAAAGAAGAGAGAGCATCCCATACTTTGAGAAACTCCTTATATTTCCCAAATATAAGGAAATTCCCTTTCTGGGGGGTAATTATTTTGGAAAAAAAATCTTGCTATATATTTAGAAGAGTATAATATTATAGAAATAGTAGCCATCATGTTTACCCATTAGAAAGTTATATTTATCAGTATTCTAAGAAAATATGTCACGATATCAAACATGCTTACAAGCCCACATTTGGCAACGATCTCAAAGTCCACCTTCCTTGCTCTTGAGTTCAAATGGTCTTCACAAGCTTAATGATGCCATGCTTGTCTCATTTCATTTAGCTGGGGTAGCCATCATCTTCACATGGTGAGATCTTGTTCACGTTTTGGAAAAAACAGAAAAGTTGTTTTCAAAGCCCTTTGTTCATACCACAAATACAGCAGTCGTGACTGTCCTGATACCCTGCTGGACTGTGCAGGCTGCTCGAAGGTGTATGCTGTCTCCTACTAACTTTGTAACCCAGGCACTTCATATATGGCTGGGACGTTATAGGAATTCAACAGGTTCTGGTTAAACTGAATATTTCAGCTATATTTTAACATTGGTCTAATGATAGCTATTAATTAATGAGAAAGAATTGAATTCCAACTGTTCTTTTTGTATAATCCCTATACGTTCAGTATAATCCTACAACGTTGAGCACAAACCAAAATAGAACTCATGACCTTCAGAGCGTTGCACGTGTGACAATATGCTAGGTGCTGTAATCATGATTTTATAGAGCACAACAGAGAAAGCTGCAGAGAGAAGGATGCTTTTGAATTGAGTTTAAAGGAGGTGTTGGCAGGTAGAGCGGGGAGGAAATGAGATGAAACACTTCCAGGAACCTGGCTCCACTTCTTTGGACTCGAGGATGGACTAGTAACAGAGGTGCCTGTCAGGTAATTTTTGAGGTGTTTGAAAGCTCAAATAAAAAAAAAAATGCTTATTCCAGCAACAGCAGAGCAGCTAATTAGAGGCCCCTCGTAGGTGACGCATCTGTCGTGCTGTGGGCATGCCATTTCTCTTGTGCAACTCCGATGGTGAAAGCAGCAAAAATACAGAATGAGAACCAGAAGTTCAGAAAAGCCTTCCAAAGAACAACACTGCTGCCAGGGGGAGGAGATTGTTTTCCATCTCTGTGAGCCAAGGGGCGAGCCCAGGACAATAGCTGCAGTAGGTGGTCTATGATGGAAATTTTAAAGCACAAATAAGCACTCAAGGAGAAAAAAGTCACAAACACAAAAATCTAGCTTCCATTATTTTAATAACGTTTAGTTAAAGTGTTTTTTCAAATGACTTAATCAAATCCCAATTGAGTGACTGTTATTAGAGCCAGAATTTAGTTATTTTGAATTAATAAAATGGAAACTATAAAAGAACTCGATTAGGTGCCGGTCAGACAGCACCGACCTTGCTAAGAGGTATGGGTTGGTAAGGATGCTATTGGGAAGCAGATCTATCCTTTATTATTTTGTCCTCTGGGCAAAACAAACTGTATCAGATTTGGAAATAAACGATGCAGTGGGAGAAAGTCATTTGCTTAAAAGAGTAAGACAGTGTTTCCCATGCAAATATGGGAAATCCGCCGTAAGGATTCTGTCTGTATTTTACAACTTGATTTCACTTTTTCATTTTTATTTTGAGTCTGAGTCTCTATGTGGAAGAGATTTCATATAGGTTATTGAATAATCAAATGGAAGTGATGAATTTGGCAGAAATCAGCACAGAGATGTATAGAAAGTCCAGGAAGCACGTGTGGTGAGAAGAGGGAGGAGAAACGCTAACGGTTACTGTGTCGTGGAAGCTCAGGGAAGAGAGTCTAATAGAAGAGGGCGGCGGTGAACGTGGTGAGATGCTGTGTTCCCAAGTGGTCAAGACAGGTCAGGGCTGAGAAGAGTCCCTTGGAGATCGGGTGACACTGGACAGAGCAGGGTTTGTGGGGTGGTGAGAGTAGAAGCCAGATTATAGTGAACAGGCATGAAGGAAAGAGAATGAGTGTGGACTGAAGTCTAAGTCCATGAATTTGCAGTTCTCTGGAGCAACCCAGAGTAAGTCCTGGCCTCTGTTCTCTAGTCCTCATCCTTCCTTTCCCTGTTGGGTCCTCATCTAGCAAGCGTTCATGGGACACATCCTTTGCATGTTCTCTTGTATGTCAATGACACTTGAAATGTGGCTCCCAGAATGGGATGCAACAGTCCGACTAACCTGGCCAGGCCCAAGTAGGTTGGGACTCCATTACCCAGTTCATTTACTCCTGGTATTTTAGGCTGAAGTTAAATGGGATTTATTGTTAGCCATGTCATAATGTCGACCTATATCAAGACCTGTAATCTCCAGGTCACTTTTGCATGAATTTGTATGGCTTCACAGCCTTAGCTTATATAATTTTTAAAAATTTAATCAGAGATATTATTCCTAATAAGTTATATTTGATTTTGTCTGAGAATTCCATCATACCATGATCCCCCTAAATCCTCACTCATTGCTCTTCAGAGCATTATTCATTTGTATATAGTCACATTGACCATTGGCCTAATACTTCAAAAAATGATAAAAACATAAAACAAGATGCCACCTGTTTTACATATTCTTGAATGATAGTTTCTTTTAGGTTAAAATGGATCTATTGAACACTTTTGGGATAGCGCTATTCAAACAACTAGGTAGTAATGATAGCTAATATTTTTTGAGAATGTATTATTTGCTAGGTAATTCTCACAGCAATCCTACAATGTAGGAAATATTATTATCCGCATCTGATAGGTGAGAAAAGTGAGGCAGATATAGGTTGTTCATATTCACAAAGACTGTAAGTGGCAAAGCTGGGATTTATACCAGGCACTGTGGTTCCAGGCTGAAGCTCTTAGCTGTGATACCACACACCCCATGATAGTCTCTCACAACTTTCTGTCACCCTCACAGGGATCACGGGGGAGTGCCCATGGAGCCCTCAGATCTACCACCAAAGTGACACTCTCACAAAGAGAAACTGATGTTATTTTAGCACGACTTCTTCATAGAGTAACAGCAGTCATTTATTATAACCACCTCTTTCTTTGCTTCATGCTAAAAAATTATTCTTAGTGTCTGATTTAGAGTTTTTCCAAAAATTACTGTCAATCTTACTGATCTGTGAGATTCCAGAATAAATCTTTTCCACATTTTAGAAGTTGGAACGTTTTCCCTTCAGACCCCCAGCAGCCCTGCTAGCTTGCATTGTCCTGGTTGGTAGGTACTCTTGGTTGCAGATACCTCAGCCTGAGCCAGGTGAGGAGGGTTAGTGTTTGCAAAGTGATTGTTACTCAGATGAGACTGAGAGACCGCACGACACCCAGGAGAGGCTGAGAAGCCAGGAGAGGGCCGGAAACCAAGGCAGCTAGGTGGGCTCTCCACTCTATCCTCTCTTAAGGCTCTGTTGCTCCTCCCTGACCATCCCCATATTCCCATCTCTCCCCCAAAAGGCTTACTCCGAGTTTCTGCAACCTCACAGTTTCAGCTTCAACACGGTCACCCCAGTCACGATTCCACGTGACCATTTACCCCAAGAGCTTACCACCAACTGGACTTTCCCTCGGGGTCAAATTATCATCTTTCTGAGCTCCACGGCA